ATAAACATTAATGAGGTCACCCCTCAGTCTCCTCTTCTCCAAGCTAAAGAGCCCCAGCTCCCTCAGCCTTTCCTCAGCAGGGAGATGCTCCACTCCCTTCATCATCTTGGTGGCTCTAGAGTGTAGTACCTCCAGATACTGGAGGTCTGTAGAGATTTAATACTCCTTGTGCAGATGCGTTTTTCTCCATCACCTCTAGGACATTTTTGACCCTGTGCTGGGATGCTCTGGCTACCCCAGGAAAGCCTGTCCAGTCTACGATCTCTCCCCTCTCCCTCTGAACTTAGACATAGTCCAGGTGGAGCTCCTGTCCCTTTAGCTGCAGGCTCTGACCCTGGGTGTCACTGCAGGGAAGATGTATGCCTGCCAGTACTGCGATGCTGTGTTTGCCCAGTCCATCGAGCTGTCCCGCCACGTCCGGACTCACACAGGGGACAAGCCGTACGTCTGCCGGGAGTGTGGGAAAGGTTTCCGCCAGGCCAACGGACTCTCCATCCACCTCCGGACCTTCCACAGTGAGTGTGGCCAGCTGCCTCCCTGGCTTGGGCAGCCCAGCCTGCAAGGCACAGGGTGATGTCAGAGCCGTCTGTGCCAGCAGAGGCTTGTGCGGGTGTTACTGGTGCCTGCAGGCTGCACGAGTGTTTTGTGGTGGTATTTTTCCCTCCCGAGAAAAGCAAGACTCTGTAGTGTTCTGATGCTATGAGTAGAGTTACCCCAAGGAAAGGGGCAGAGGTGGCTTCCAGCAAACCACAAGCTGCTGCGAACCCACCAGGGGAAGCTGTGGGTGATCAGGAGCAGCAACATGTGTATGCAAAGCCCAAACTATAGTGCTAGTTTTTGTCTGGGAAGGAACAAGCATTTCTTTTCCTTTTCTTTCTTCTCTCTGTGAATTCTCCTCTTAATTATTTTATTTTTTTACTTGATTTCTTTGCCCCCCTGTGGTTTTTTTTTTTTTACACTTCTGCATGGTAGACATCGAAGATCCCTACGACTGCAAGAAGTGCCGGATGAGCTTTGCCACCCTGCAGGAGCATCGCAAGCACATCCATGAAGCCCACTCTCGAGAGTACCACCCCTGCCCTACCTGCTCTAAAGTCTTCAGTGCCCCGTCGCTCCTGGAGCGCCACATGGTGACCCACGTTGGAGGAAAGCCCTTTAGCTGTGAGATCTGTGACAAAGCTTACCAGGTTAGCAGGTGCAGCAAAGGTTTCATTTCATGTGCTGGCGGTTGCCATTGCTCCTGCACCAGGATGTCTCTCCTGCCCCTGTGCACTGAGTGCAGCAGTTTGCGGTCAGCAGAAAGAGAACGCAGAGTCCGTAGGGAAAAGGCAGGTCTGTGGAGAGAGATGGGCCATAACTGCAAAGATCTACATACCTACCCATCTGTCCCTGAGGAATCTCTTTCACCTCAGTTTCTAGCTGCCAAGAAGTGTAGGAATGAAAATACTCATGTTGCAAATGGCATGCCTCAGTGGGAGCGCGTGTGGGAGCACAGTCCTGTAAGGGAACAAAGATTCACACCAAAAGGGGACCTGCAGTGAATGAGATGAGGATGGGGGAGTCAGCAGCGTTCAGCTCTTCAGGGGCAATGGAGAAACAGAAGAGAGGCGGTAGCTCTTGTCCTGTGGGAGGATGAGCAGGTCTTGTACCCGCTGAGCACAACCCCGCTGTTGCTGTTGCGTTCCGCGCAGTTTCTTGCTGTCACCGTTCCCCTGGAACAGCTTTGAATTGTACCAACGATTTGATCCTTATCATTGCAGCAGTTGTCAGGGTTATGGTATCACAACCGGACCCACCACCCTGATATCTTTGCAGCTCAGAATCACCGCTCCTCCAAGTTCTCCTCCCTGCAGTGCAGCTCCTGTGACAAAACCTTCTCCAGCACTGCTGCTCACCGAAAGCACGTCAAGGCAGAGCACGCAGGTAACGGTGAACTTGTTAGTGAACAAAACCACATGGTGACTGCTGGGAGAGATGTAGTAATAACTCAGGTAGGACAAGGTTGCACATCTTGTTCACCTGCAAATCACGGGAGATTCTTTGTATCCTGTAGCAGTCTTTTCTGGAAAGTCTCATCTTGGTGTCTAGCAGCTCACTTGCTCTTAGCCTCTCCTTTTCCTGCCTTATCTCCAAAGATGGTCCTCATGTCTTTATGCATGTGTGATGTAGCTGAAGTACTAACAGAGCTCTGGTCCAGAAGGTCTCTTGTAGAAGACTGTGGGCACACGCTTCTGTTCTTGTCCTTATTTGCAGATGTGAAGTTCCATGAGTGTGAGACGTGCAAGGAGCTCTTCCCCACCCTGGCTCTCCTGCAGGTCCACGTGAAGTGCAGGCACTCAGGTCTGTTAGATTTGCTGTTGTTCATGTTAATCTTGTGAGCAATGACTGCTCCTGTCAGTGAGTGATGTCTAAGCTGTAAGTGGGAGAGTGAAGATGGACATGGTAAGGAAGCAGAGTGTGAGGAAACAGAAAATATGGGTGAACTGAAAAAGCACTGGTTTTGGTGAGGCTAGGACATGTTTGTTAAGCTTCTGGAGTCAAGGAGGGATCTCGATTTGCGTGTTACAGCAGAGAAGAGAGCTAAATGCAGGTGAGGAGACATCAGCACAGAGAAATGAGGAACTGAACCCCAAGCTTGGGGGTTTGTGGGGGACAGAGCTAGTGGGAGACTGGAGAAAAAGTTAGTTTAGCACCAGAAAGATCAGGAGGGGCCTGGCCTTGGGGAGACCATGTCAAGGGCCCTTTGGCAAGTGAGCAAACTGAAGCGAGGCTGTGAGGGCAGGGTGAACTGTCAGACCAGACTACTATGAAAAGTGGGTGCCCAGGGCTGTGCATGGGATGTCAGGAGAGGAGATGGATGGGGAGACACTGGAGGGGGCAGCCAACTGCAGCCTGAAGAGTGGGGAAGGAGAAGACCTAGACATAGCTCTGAGATGAGAGAGCCCCTGGCTTTGGTAGTGCAATAGCTGAATCAGGAGGTGCAAGCCAGGCCAACAAGGAGCAGTGCTGGATGGTGCAAGAGAACAGGGAGAAGAGATGTTGGTGAGAAAGGACAGCTGAAGCTATAATCAGATACACCAACCAGGTTTCTGAATGCCAGTGCTGCAGGGAGCCCGAGCTAAAATGGACCTGAGCAGCCACAAACTGTTTGACAGACGGTGCTGTAGCCAGGAGAAGGGACACTGGCACCCACCATGCCCTGAGTCTCTGCTTGGTTCCAGCCTTGCATGTCTTGGCTTTTTTTCAGCTCCCTGGGCCCTTGGGCTGGTCCTGACCCTCGCACCCAGGCTCAAGGCAGTGCTTCTCCCCGCAGGCTCCCAGCCATTTCGCTGCTTGTACTGCTCAGCGTCCTTCCGCTTCCCAGGGGCCCTGCAGAACCACGTCACCACCCAGCACTTCAAGCAGATGGAGAGCACCTTCACCTGCGAGCTCTGTGGGGAGCTCTTCCCTTCCCAGGGTGAGCTGAAGGGTCACTACAGCGCTGAACATCCCAAGGCGGTCTTCTCCCAAGCCACCATGGCCCAGATTGTGCAGGTGAAGACTGCTTTGTGCCGCAGCCCTCGCAGTTGTTCATCCATCCTCCCCCTCCAACCCTCTTATTCTTCCCAAATCCACCCTGGGCTCCTCTCACCCCTTTTGCTCCCTGATTCTCCCTTCTTAGAGGGGTTGAGGATGCAAGACCCCAGCCCACAGCGCTCTGGGATTTCTGTGCTGGTGTGCTCTAGATTTCTGTGCAGACTTATTGGAGGGGAAGCAGCTCAGTCCTAGTTTTCATGAGCCAAGACGGAGAGAGTGACAGCGTGTGCAGAGGTGCCTTGTTACTCAGAAGCTATTAAACCCCAGATGACGTGCCCCATGAGGTTATAGCTGGTTTTGTTGGAGGCCAAATACGAGGCTTGAACCCAGACTCCTTCTTTTCAGTATCTCAGCCACAGCTCCTTGGATGAGGGAGCCAAGTGTGCAAGATTCCCTGGGCTGGCATTTCTCCAGGAGATAATCACAGAGCGTTTATTGTCTACAACTGCTTGTGGAGCTAAATTATAGCAATTTTATGAAGAGAAATATTTAAATTACTCTCCTGTCTTATCTTTTGCATCATCAGTGCGTGTGGTTTGGTGTTTCGCATTAGTCTCACACCTATTGTAATTGCAGACCTCTGGCATGAAGCTAAATGTTATTACCAGAGCTGGGGCCAGGAAAGATGTGGGTAGCAAAGTGATTGTGGGGAAAGTGGTGCTCGAAGTGTCTGACTCTCAGGTCATCTTCCACACAGGTGATTCAGACGTCGGAGCAAGGAGCAGCAGAGCATATCATCTCTTTTGATGAGGCCCAACTCACTGGCTCCCAAGTCTTTGTGACATTGCCCGAATCCCAAATGAGCCAAACTGGCTCCGAGCTGGTGGCAGTGACCATGGAGGACTTTTTTGATGACAAAGTCACTCTGATTTGTGAAGAAACAAAGTGAGAGTGAGCGGCAAGTGCCCGTGCATGGCACCTGGTATCCATGAGACTCGTTCAGGAGCTGTACCTCAATGTGCTGATCCAGCAGGGAGATTCAGGGTTTCTTTGGGAAAGCAGCCCCAGGAATGGGGATCCCTTGGCATGCAGCAAGTACAGCATGGCCAAGGGCAGGAGAGGTTTGTAGACGTTCACAAGGGCCTGGAAAGTCTCCCTGCAGTCAGCAGCTGCCAGCTCAGGTGGGCTGGACCACTCATCCCTCCTGGCTCAAGAGAAATAAAGCAGCAGAGGAAAAGATGGGAATTGGGTGTGTTCACATGTGTTCCTCCACTGCTGTGAACAGAGTGGAGAGGGCGAGAGTAGTGCAAGACAAAGTTGTGGTGGTTTGGGTGTGTGAAACCAAAGAAAAAGCTGTCCTGAGAATTTGGGGTGGGGTTTTTTATGGCTGATCAGTGATGTGCTCACAGGTACCTGTTACTCTGCAGGGTGAGTAAGGGCTGCTTTGTTTCTTCTGTTGCTGTGCCCTGTGTTGTTGTGCTGCCTGTTCTGCTGACTAGAAACTCCTCCAGCACAGAGCTGACATTTGGGGCTCCCTGCTGAAGCAGAGACTTCTTGGGAGTTGTGCTAAATGGCTTCGGAGCTGTTGAGGTAAAACCTTGTGCAGCACAGATCTGATCCCGTCCATGTCTTTGCTGTGGCTGTCTGTTACGAAGAACGTCTGGGTATCCACATCCCCTTTGGGAGCAAACAGCCCTGAGATCTCCCACCCCTCCTTTATTTCACCAAGGATGTGCTGAAGCTGCCATATGTGAGAAAGGAGGAGGTGTTCCTGCATGTCAGGGCACCTCGTTACTGGTATCAGTGGATTGGCACTAACGAAGGTCTGAGTGTGCAATAGCTGCCATGTCTACACGTAGACGTTCTCCTGGGCACACAGGGCATTGCTTTGTAAAATGCATTCACATATTTACTGTAAAAGTTTGCTTCTCTGGTGCCAGCACGATGCAACAGCTTCATTGCAGCACACTGGCCCGTTTAGGGCTAAATTTCATGAAGCTTTTTTTTATCTGCAGTTTCCTAAAATATAATCTGATAATTAATGGTTTGCTGAATCTATTATGAAGTGCAATTAGATAGATGCAGGGTTCCTGGGGCTCTGAGCGGACTGGTAGCATTTATCTTCTTTTCCCTCATGCCAAAAGGTTGAACTCTGCCACTGCGATATTTACATACTGAGCAGTGATCCCCGGCGCATCTCACAGCCCGAGACCCTGTGGTGAGCAGCACCCGTTTTATCACACTGCCCAGAGCCACGGGAGCAGGAGATGAAGATTGGAGTTTTCCAGCAGCATCTTACGCTGGCTGTGCACAGCCACAAGGCAGAGATGGTCGTACAGGGTGTGCCAAGGTGGCTGTAGAATCATAGAATCATAGAATGGTTTGGGTTGGAAGGAACCTCAAAGCTCATCCAGTTCCAGCCCCCCTACCAGCAGCAGGGACACCTTCCATTAGACCAGGTTGCTCAAAGCCTCATCCAGCCTGGCCTTCAACACTTCCAGGGAGGAGCAGCCACAGCTTCCCTGGTCAACCTGGGCCAGTGTCTCACCACCCTCACAGTTAAGAATTTCTTCCTAATATCTCATCTAAACCTCCCCTCTTTCAGTTTCAAGCCATCACCCCTTGTTCTGTCATTAACTGCCCTTGGCCAAAGTCCCTCCCCAGCCTTCCTGGAGCCCCTTCAGGTACTGGGAGGCCACTAGAAGGTCTCCCCGGAGCCTTCTCTTCCCCAGGCTGAACAGCCCCAACTCTCTCAGCCTGTCCTCATAGGAGAGGTGCTCCAGCCCTCTGAAAAGGTGCCAGTGAGGTTGTTGTTCCTGGTACAGCTTGGAGAAAAGAAGTGAACAGCGAGGGGTGACCCCAGGAGAGGGGCTTGGGGGAGCTAATGTTCTGCATGGCATTTATTTTTGTGTCTGGCAGCAAGAATATCACCCTGTTGAAGTGTTGCACATGTGAAGTGCTCCCACCTTTCTTTTCCTTGGTTGCATGCACGGCTTGTCCCCGAGGCTTTGCAGTGCGGTGAAATGGAGGGAGCATGAGGTTAAGTTGCCATTTAATCCGGGAATGACCAGGAGATGGTGCTCAAGGTCTTGAGGATTAGTGCTAATGGCCAGGTACCTCTGCACCTTTGCTGAGGCTCCTTTTAGCCTTCCCAGGCCTTACCCAGCTCCTGAGCTGGCAGGCATGGAGAGACCTTGAGCCACTGCCAACTTGGAGGGACAACTCCAAACCCTGGATATCATAGAAGGGTTTGGAGTTGGATATCATAACTGCTTAAAGAAGAGCCTGCGACTGAGCTGTGGCCACCTGTGAAGAGGGTACAATGCCCCTGTTACTGAGGTGAAGTGGTGAAAAAGCCTGGGACCTAAATCTGCTGGGAGAAGATCAGAGGGGGAACTGCTGGAGACCATCTCATGCCTGCCTGCTCACAGAAGAGCTGTGCATGGAGCTCAGGCTGAGCGCAGGGATGATGACAGAACAAGCAAACACGATTTGATGGTCTCCAAGCAGATGTGTTGAGAGGTAAGCAGTGGATTTTGTCCTACAGGCTGGTGGAGATGGAAGCTGTTCCCCCTTTTCTGGCTCTGTGGGGACTGGGAGCTATGGAGATCCTGCACACAGGCTGCATGAGTGCTCTGGAGCAGGGAATTACTTGTCCAGGTGATGCTTTGCAGGTGTTTAGGCATCTTTTAGGAGCCAGTATCCACAGGGACTGTTAGGTGAAGCTGATCTCCCTTTGTTCCTGAAAAATTCTGGAGGGAGAGTAAAGGTTTAGGGAGAAGTTGCCTTATTTATAACCCTCTCGTAAGGCAGAAGGAGCTTGAGTAGGGGAGAGCATCCAAGTGATGCATTTTGACTTTGATCTGTTTGGTCCCTGTTGACCGAGTGTTGTCACAGTTGAAGGGGAATGGTCTGACATCAGGTGCAGTTCAGGCTCACATCTCCCCTGCCTTTGTGCCCAGCAAGAGCCTGCATGGACATCTTCTCAGCAGAATTCTGCCAGCAGTGAGAGCTCTGCAGCTGCACAGGATGAGGAGATGATAAGTCTGATACTCTCATTCCAGTTCCTTCTTGATGGATGAAATACACATGTTAGAGCAAATTGCAGTGTTAGCAACACCTACGTCGTACCTGGACGGAAGATGCATTTCCCAGGGCAGGTCCTGGTCTGGTGTGAAGATGCTGATCAGTATCGATTTCTTGTTATGCTGCATATTTTTTTTTTTTTTACTCTGTAAAAGTAAAACGTGGAGAATAAAAGATGTAGCTGCACAGAGTTATGTGAAGCAACTCATTGGAAGGAAAAGGCCGTATTTCTGAAAATATGATTTTTGCAGGTCTTTTCCCAGGTGCTGGGTGACACTTTGGGTTCTGTGGGACCTGTGCCCCTCTTGACCTTGGTGCCGTCCTCTGTAAGGAAGCAGAGAAGCTGTTGTCAGCTCAGGCTGGAGCACAGGACCATCCTGCCCTTCACTGTGCCCTCCTGTTGCAGGTGCCAGATGATTTTGGAAAAAGGGCAGGAGTGCCTGTAACAGAGACCTTGAGAGTAACATCCCACGGAGGAGGTTATATCAGTTAGTGATTTATAGAATCATACAATCCCAGACT